GGGGCTCCCCGAGGGCCCCCCGCAGCGCCCTCCCCTCAGCGGGGACCGCCCGCCTCGGCAAAGGCAGCCCCGGGCGCCGTTCGAGCGTCTCCAGCACTTCCTGTAGCGTCCTGGGGGCGCTGGGCCCCCGAACACTCGCAAACTCATCCAACGCATTTTAGTTCAATATATTTTAATTTTATTAATATTTTTCTTATTTTTTTCTTATTATTTATTTTTGTTATTTTATTTCTTTATAATTTTATTTTTATTTAAAACTCTTTTTTTTGCCATTCTATGAACTAATCGCGAAGGCGCAGCTACCTCTAGAGGCCAAACGGGAAAAAAAGCACCTGGTGCACCCATAAAACGGGGCCACCACTTTCCGCCCGTGCGAGTCTGGGCTTAGGAGGGCTAGATACTGTAATTTAGCCATTATTTATAGAGTTACATAGCAATTTGACTCTTGAGAACATGTGCCTTCTTGTGTTTCTCACTCTTCCTGTGGTTGCTGTCAGTGCTTTAAGTATTTGTCCATTCCTCAGTTTTGCATACATTTTTGAAAGATGTTTCTCAGCTGTTCTAGGGTGATAGGATTTAGAAAAACAAAAACGTGTACAGCAATATTGTCCTTATGGTAGAACTGAAATCTGACAACGCTACTAGATACTAGCTTGTAATTTCATGTGTAATCTCAAGTCTCGTGGTTGTACCTTTCATTATTTCCGTCTCTTAAAATTATATGAATAATAATTTTCAATTTTCCAGTAAAGGTTGCAAAAATATTTTGACTGAATGCAGCAATAAGAGCTTGGTTGATGTACTTGCCTTCCTGAGTGTCTTTTAAGAAGTTTCACCTGCAGAAGCAGAAGGTGCTCTCTGCATTAGAAAGACACGTGCTGATTTGTAAAGTGCCAGTTTCTGCCTGTCTTCTGCCTTAAAATGGACTCAGATTAAACCCAGAGTTCGGATGTAAACTGATTAATGGACACAGATCCGGAGTGCCCTAGGACAGACAAACCATTTGTTTTGAGCTCATAGGAACTGGTGTAAACTCTTCAGAACTAGGTGTATCTCCGTGGTGTTAAACATGTACAAACTGCCGCCTTGGGAGATCTGGAAGGGGGAGCCAGAACGGGAGCGTAACTGCTGCATCTTCGTTTATTGCAGTGCTTTGCGATCGCGAGGGCATGCACAAAACCTGAACTCGGATCCCGGCTCTAAACACACGGCGTGCGAGACAGGTAGTGGATGCATTGCTGGAACTTACTGACACACCTGATCTTACAGTTTATTTGGAAAACTGACTAACGTTGACGTTTCCTTCTCAGGCATCAATTCCATAATCAGTATCTAGGTAATTCCAAGCGTATGCAAACTGACAGCAGTATTTAGATAATGTAAAGCATTCAGATAATGTAGGCATATAAAATTACATATTGTGCCAGGCTCTGAAGTTCATGCTATTTTTACCTAACCCTCTTTTACTAATAAACTGTAATATTCATTTACTAATAAACTGCAAGCGCCACCACGGAAGGGATACGGGGACTCAGCAGGCCGAACAAAGCCGTTGCGGGGTAGAGCTGGGGAGCGGCGTCGCTCGCGAGGAGGATCCGCAGGGATCGCGAGGAGGATCCGTAGGGATCGCGAGGAGGATCCGCAGGGATCGCGAGGAGGATCCGCAGGGATCGCGAGGGTCAGCCCGAGCGGGGCCGTGTATTCTGAAACCTATTGCAGGTGTGTGCTCATCCTGCCTTGCGCGGTGTAACGTCATCCCGGCACGGCGCGCGAGGGCGTAAACGTGGGAACGTTGGTACTAACGCGGCCTCCGCTGGGTCATCCGGCTGCACCCTGCGAGGACTCACACCCTGTGTTAATTTAGGAGCGTTTAAAAGATCGGAGCTTAATGTTTCTTAACAGTGAGGGTGCCAGAGCGCTGGAACAGGCTGCCCAGAGAGGTTGTGGAGTCTCCTTCTCTGGAGATCTTCAAACCCGCTTGGACACAGTCCTGTGCCACGTGCTCTAGGTGACCCTGCGTGTGCAGGGGTTGGACTAGATGATCTCTAGAAGTCCCTTCCAACCTTAACCATTCTATGATTCTATGATTCTATGATAACGGTGCAATCTCAAAGGTTGTTGTCTTGGGTGCAAATCCTGCAGAGATGGTTGCTCCTCTTTGCTACCGTTAATTAAGCCCTTTGAGTTCCGCAGCGCTAATGACGGGTGCGGGTTTAAGCACAGCACGAGCATCCCTTGAGTCGGGGCACTGGAATCAGGAATGCTGGAGGCTGGAAGGGACCCTTAGAGGACACCGAGTCCCACCCCCGCTTTGACACTCAGGCCGGGGGCGCGGAGCGGAGCGGCCCGTTCCGCAGCTTACCGCAGAAAGGAAGGTGGCTCCGCGCGCGGCCGCGCTCGGCGGTGACGCGCGGCGCGGGGCCGCCCCGCGCTCC